AAGCCACAAAGGGCCCATAGAGCAGTGTTTCTCAACCTTGGCAACTTGAAGAGGTCTGGACTTTAACCCCCAGAATTCCCCAGCCAGCATTCGCTGGCTGGGGAATTCTGGGAGTTGAAGTCCAGACATCTTCAAGTTGCCAAGGTTGAGAAACACTGCTCTATGGGCCCTTTGTGGCGTCTGGACTTCAACTCCCAGAATTCCTAGGCTGGCTCGGGAATTCTGGGAGTTGAAGTCCACAAGTCATCCAGGGGCCACGGTTCCCCCCACTTCTGCTCTAGTAGCAGCCCCAAGGGTGCTTTTTTTCAAGAGGCAACTGGACTTTTCTTCCTGGAAGGAGTTTCGCTTCTCCAAGAAGCTTCCTGCGTTCCGATTGAACGGTGGGGAAAACGGAAGGATTTATACTTAGAAATGTATAGGATGTATATTTGCATTACACAATGAGGATCTATATATTGTATCACAGAACTGAAGAGGCTTCTTGGGCGAGAAGCAAAATGTCTTCGAGGAAAAACAAAAGAAAAAGCACTTCTGGGACAAGAGTGGCCTGGATGACTTGAGAATCTCCACAGACACATCTGGAGGTAGATGAAGGATACAGGCGTGCAGCTGATTTGATTGCAAATCAAGTCATTGCTGATCAAAAATCTCTCCGTTTTGAAGGATTATATTTGCCCAGGACAATATTCCTTGGTAAATCCTTCCCTGTCCTTGAATGGGTGGCAGGGCCTTGCTAAGATTCAGCCGTACAACACTTTTAAGTCTTAAAACGAGGCAAGAAGGCGAATTCCCCATGGAACAAACTGAATGCAGACTCAGCTACTTTTAAATCCCTCCCCCCCCCACCTCCCGATTTGCTATTTTTTAAAAGTCAAGAATTTCCTGTTACCGAATAAAAAATGGGAACTGAGGAAACCTCGCCCACTTCACCCAACTTGCAAACACAGCACCTGAAAATTAGTAAAATGCAGTATTTTCTCCACCTGCCAAGCTGTTTTGTGCTAGCTCATCCCATTTTCATATGGTTGCAAACTCGGAATTATTTTCCACGGTGGCTCTCGGGGGTGTTCAAACTGCTTTCCTGCAGGGGGGAAATAAAACTTGTTCAGCTGAGCTATGAAACCAGCTGACACCATGTTTTTAATGGGGCTATTGGTTACGACGACAAAAAAGATTTAACCTTTTTATTTTATTGACTTACTTACTCTCCACCACCACCCCCTTTTCATTCTCAGAAACGCTTTGTGGGTTTTCTTGTTTTTAAAACCTGTTCGGAGTTGGGTTGCTACTTGTAGCTCACATACCACAACAGCATCAAAGAGGCGGGGGGGGGAATTAAAATCCAACAGAACTTTTGTTGGGGGGTTTAATAACGTGTAGTCTGAATACGAGATCAGCTGAAAAGGTAGCCTGGGACAGCAAGTCCGGGGCGTGCCTAGAAACGAACATGTACTAGAAAGTCCATCCGCAAATTCTTGGAAGTCATGAGAACTAGGAATTAATTTTAGCGTCGTGGGTTTTTGCTAGTTGAATTGTTGCACGGAATAAGACCAGCTTTGCAGGAGCTGTGGTTAGAGTGGAAGCTGACTCTGCTCACTGCCAGCAGTTCGATTCTGAACAGCTCAAGGTTGACTCCGTCTTCCGTCCTTCCGAAGCCAGTCAAATGTGGACCCAGATTGTTGGGGACAAGAGGCTGACTCTAAAACTGCTTAGAGAGGGCTGTAAACACTGTGAAGCAGCATATAAGTCTTAAGTGCTATTGATCTTCCCCTCCTTCCTTCCCTCTCATCCTTCCATAGTGCCCAGTGGTTAGTATGCAGTATTGCAAACTAACTCTGCCGACTGCCAGCAGTTTGATTCTCACCTGCTCAAGAGTGATTCAGCCTTCCATCCTTCCGAAGTCGGTCAAATGTGGACCCAGATTTTGGGGGGCAAGAGGCTGACTCTGTAAACCGCTTAGAGAGGGCTGTAAAAGCACTGAAGTGGTATATAAGTCTAAGTGCNAGCCGGTGAGATTAGAACCGCTGAACTGCAGATAACAGTCAGCTGAAGTGGCCTGCAGTACTGCACCCTAACCACTGCGCCACCTCGGCTCATTGTCAACAGCTGAATTGGGAAACCAACCGGCGTCTGGGGGAATAAGCTCACATGCTTATATTCCTATGTCACTAATTCTGGGGCTCAATTGGGGGGGGGGTGGTCATAAATCGAGGACTACCCGAATCACCTTTTGGAAGGAAAATCGATAAAAATGTAACCAGCGGTGCCTGTTCTTCGCCCCCCCCCCCCTTCTTGTTCCCTCGACACAAAGGCAAGATCCTCCTGTCCAATTCTGCTGCTGTTCCCAGAGAACTCTGCTTATGCACAGGGGAAACACACGGAACGCAGATTCCCAGCAGGCGGCCAGGGAAAGCTCAACCTACGTAGGAGCAGCCGAGCGGAGGCAGGAATCCATCTGTCAAAAGGAAAGAGCGTCGATTGTGTAGCCCGGGAAACGGGAGAAAGCTTCGCGCTGTCACTTCCATCACCTCTGAATGCCGATGACGAAACTGCTCATTAGAGATCAGGTGATAAATCAGAAAGCGACAAGGAGATTCCAAAGGATTTATCTAAACAGCAATCTAATCACCCGCAGGCACGGGCTCTTGAAATCAGGATGGCTTCTTCGTAACGGCAGATAGATTTGTGTGGAGGTGACAAAAATATGTGCTAAGCCTTCTAAAAGAGGTCTCCGGCCACGGCGGCTTTAAGCCTGGAGGACTTCAACTCCCAGAATCCCCTGGTTTGGGGAATCCTGGGAGTTGAAGTCTGCCTCTTGTAAAGCAGCGTAGGTTTGAGAAACACAGCTGTAAAGATTGAAAGAACAACAATGCATTCCTGCCCTGCATTAAATTAATTAAATGGGATGGATGGAAGAAGAAATTTATAATAGAGGGAAGTATCTCTGCTCTAGGATGGGTGATAGATTCTGTTCTCTGGCAGTGTTTCTCAACCTTGGCAACTTGAAGATGTCTGGACTTCAACTCCCAGAATTCCTAGGCTGGCTCGGGAATTCTGGGAGTTGAAGTCC